AGCTGAGTCACCGTTACACCAACAGCAAGGGCAAAAATGTAAGCTAATGGGAGGAATCACAGTACCTCACACATCAACACACTTCAGGGGAAAAAAGAGAAGGAAGAAATCACAAGCCAGCAAGAGAAAAAGAACACTTCTAGTCTACACACCACGTTTTATGGGCTGGGTGCTCAGGCACATTTCTTGCTGGGTCCTGTTGGGTACTGACAGCCCAACAGGGATTTGGAAACAGACCACAGTATTCCCAAGACAAAAGGAAAATATGAAACCTCTGAGATGGAAAATGGCCTGAAGAAACGCCCCCCGCTTCATCCCCAGACTTGTACAAAAGGGACAGACAACTCTGAGAAGTCACTGTGAAATGATGTGCCACCTGTATCTGTCCTTTTCACTTTTCTAATGAGTAGTCAACTTGCTCACATTAACAGGCAGTATCCACCTGTGGGCATGCAATTAAAATGCAAACTGCTCTGAATAACCATGTGAGGGACCAGCAGAAACCAGTCAGAGCCTGGAGAGTGGAGAAGGGATTTAGAGGTTGGAAGGTTGTCCTGGGAAGCACGCGTAACTTTGAAAAGACGACAGTGGGCATGCTACAGACTGTGTTTAGGTCTGGTGCCCACATTGCATGAACTGCCTCCGTCACCGTCAACAGTGTTCATCCACCACATCTGGGAAGTTCTCCTCCCATCCAGAACTCACCCTATACCTATGTTTAAATAATTTCCTTGGGTCTAGATGCAACTGTAACCCATTACCACATGGAATTAAAAAAAAACCCATAAGTAACAAAATGCAAAAGGTTTCACTCAGCATGACGTCACCATAACTGCCTAGCAGGTTCCTACAAATTTAGCATTTGCTTGCTGTTGCGATTGCTATTTTAAAACTTTTCCCAAGAAAAGGTGAAGAGAGGCCACTGGAAAATACATGGGCTCTGTGTGCCAGGTGAGCCACAGCTCACGTCCTCTCCGGCTGGTCTGCTGGCCCGCGCTGGGCTGGGTGTGCTTATCGCAGCCCCTTTTGTACGTGCCATTGGTGCATCTCTGGCTGGAATAGAAAAGGTGGAGGAGGAACCCAAACGTGGGGAGTTCAGGCTTCAGGTCAGGCAAATACAGAAAATAAAATGGTGTTTGCACTGGGGTCTTTGTGTGACCCACGGGAACGAGCCTGATGGCTCTCCCTTCCACTGGCGCCTTTACAGTGGAATCGCAAAGTGCTTTGCAGATCCCCTGCCTGCGTAATTGCCCCCTTTTCCCCCTCCTCCATTCCTGTCACCAAGGAAGCTGCACCAATGGTTTGCTCTAAAGACCCATCGGTCTGTACAGTCTCAGTTCAAGAGGCTGAGTGGTTTAAATGTACGGAACAGAGGGTCTTAAAGACAATGCTGGGCAAACCCAGAAACTCACCTCCAGAAACAACAAAGCAAGGAAAACGCTAAACAGAAAACAAACAAAAAAAAAATCACAAAAATAAGAATGAAACAATGGGCTCAAATTAAAACGCAGTAACACATGTTAAACAGATACTCTGTTTTAAACCAAACATTGCAACAATGACAAAAACAATGTACCATCCTAGCTTTTAATCCTGAAAAAACACAAAACAAAAAGGCCCAGTCAGGATAGAGTTCACCAGGTGAAAAAACTGTGCTCAGACAAATCTGTTCACGTTAAGTCCCTTTGGTGGAGCAGAAGACAAACCATAGAAATCTTGGGAGATCGATGAAGTAGGAGCTACAAACCAAATGCAGGTAGAATGCTGTAATAAAGCACTTTGAGTCCGTCGCAAGATAGATGATATCTTGATGCCACTGTAATAATGAGTATATTATTAAAACAGATCCCCATGACACCGTAGCGCTTCACCATCTATCAACCACAAAGCAATTTGTGGCTCACGCAGCAGCTATTGCATGTGTAAAGGTGAAGGTACCTCTTTGGACCCTCCAAGAAGGCTGACACACTAAGTAAGCAACCAGTTGCTTCTGCCTGGGAAATGACATTTTGCAACTGATGCAATAAATTGAACATTTCTTGGAGCCCAGTTATGAAGAGAGGCTTGAACAGCAGAGGAGAGCAGAAGAACTGGTGCAGATGAACTGCAGGCTGAGGAGCACACAAACCACGAGTGCACGTTGTGTTTGCACAGGAAAAACGCCAGAGGCGGAGGAGCAGATAGAACACTACGGAGTACGGAATGGCCTGGAAGGAGGCTTAGGGCAAGACACACGCTCTCAGTCCTTGATGTAGGACTGACGAGGGAAAGAAGCAAAACAGCAAGCACAGCACCTCGCCGGTGAAACAGCAGAACAGCTGATACAACTTTTCACCAGGCTTAGCCCCAGGACAGCTTTATCACCTCTGTGGGAGGTGGACAAGCACACCAGGAACATGAACAGCATGACTAAGAAAATGCAAGTCATGGTGCCCTCTGACACTCCAGAGACCTGTTTTGATTGATGCAGAGAAAATGATGTTTCCAGAACACTGATCGATGCTGTAGATGCTTGTTGTTGCATAAATTAATTTTCATATGTTATGAAAATAAAATCAAATTATAAAGCTAAAAAATTATTCCTTAGGAGAAAATAAATATATAAACTGGTAGGGTAGACTCATCTTTTCAGCAGGCCTTTGGCAGCTCAGTCCCAGTCTTTCCCTGCCCCTGCTCACCACCCACTTAGGGGTGCCCAAGCTCTACAGGCATTTGCTTCTGGCAGTGATATTTTCATATGCCCAAAATCCCATTTCCAAGTATGCCCAGCACTTTTTCATCTTCAGCGTGTCCAGCTCTGAATCGCAGCAGAGCCTTCATCTGACAAGTCTTGCTGTCAGCGTGGCATCTGCTCCATCCTCAGGACCACTGTGTAGCTTAAGAGCATAAGAAATGAAGTACCAGGGTACATTTGGCTGCTAACCATGGGTCCCTATCATCAGCCCTAGTGTACTGGATAGAGATATCTAAGGGATAGGTGCTGCAAACCTGAAAGCTGTAGCTGCTAAACCCCTTTGGAGTTCACTATGGACATATTTATGCCTTAAACAAATTGCTTTCGCATGCATCCATTAAATATCTTTTGGATCATGAGCCAGCAATCCATCCATACACCTCTTTCTGTCTCAGAAAACACTTAACTTCTCCCTTGCCTTCTCCTCTATGTCATTATCCATTTGGTCATCAACCTATTGACCTCCACGTGTTTTTTTTTTCCAAACTAAAGCCCTGTGAGCTTTGTGAGTGGCCTTGGAAGCACCTCACTGGCACCAAAGCAGAGATAACGAGAAGCCACGTGACGGTCGTTAGACGATGGCTCCCACAGCATGCACCATGTTGCCGTGGTTAGTAGATGTGGAAGCGATCGACTGCACTTTCAAATGTGCTCATTTGTAAGCTTAATTAACTGCCTGTACAAATGTGGCAGGTAGGGATCTGGGCAGATACAGTTCAAGGCAAAATAAAGAGAAATCCACACTTTTGTACTCACTTTCAATTGTGGTCACAAAACTGGCCCTGTGATATTGAAAACCAGGCGAAAGCCTGGTAAAAAATCATGGAACAAGGTTATGTTAAGCAACTAACAATGTGGTGTGAAATCTTAGCTCCATTAAATTGGTTTTTTTTTTTCAGATTTCTAAGAAATCTCCACATGCACCGTGCTTTTACTAAAAAAGAAGAAAATAAGTATCATTATCTTGCTTTTTAAAATAACAGTACCAGGAAATTCATCAAAGAACAAGAGTACATATCCTCATTCGACTTCTTTTCAAGACTGGACAGGAAATCATTGTAAGAAAAAGATTATATTAAAAAACAACAGTCACAGCATAAACAGGAGCTGATTAAAGCAGTTATGGCAAAATAAAATGGTAAGAGGAATAAAACAGTCAAATTAATAATATTATTTTCCTTCACATATAATGAACCAACTCCATTTGGCCAATTGTCTTTGATTAAGTGGATTAAACTCCCAGTAACAAGGGTCTCGAGAGCTTTACACTGAAGGAACAAACAGGGATCCTGCTACATTTCAGATACTTTGCAATAAAATTGAACAGGAAATTTCTTTTTCTATGCTTGAGCTTTCCAGCCTTCGGAAGTCTCCCCTGCAAAAGGGGTCTGGAAGACATCATCAGCTCTCAGTAAAATGCACAACCAATTTCATGCTGGTAGTCCTGATGTTAAAATTCCAGAAGAGTTAAATGAACCGTTAAGAACACACTTTCCAGTAAACCCATGCAAGGTAGGCACGTCTCAAACACAAGCCCCTAATCCCATGCAGGCAGAAATCTGCACTGACCTCAGCAACATCTAGACCAGTATTTCCACCTACATAGAGTTTTTTCACTTCAGTTTAGATCAGTATATACGAAAAGGTGGGCCCCAAGGCAACATTTTCTAAGGATCCTGGTATCACAGAATCCGTGCGTATGTCCACATCCACACAGAAAAGCCTGCATCTGGAAATGCAGATTGATGTTTCTAGCTACAAACCAGTGACTGTTCACATACACGATTTGATTCAACCCAGCACTCTTTCAATCAGGAAAGAAAGAGCATTCAAGCATATTTTTCAGTCTGGTATTTAGGATGCCTTTACACTTAAATTCTTGAAGCAGAGATCACTAAAGAAAAGTTAATACATTATGTGCATACATACCTCTTGTAACTAAAAATCCAAAGTGAACTGTTAACACTTCACCTGGTGAAATCTATCCTAGGACAGCTTAAAAAAATCCTTCTAAAATACAGTTGTTTATAGCAAGGCAGAAGATGAGGCATTACAAAGAAAAACAAACTAAAAGAAATACTTAATTAAATTCATGGTTAAGTGATCAGTGCTGCAGTATTCGGTCAACCTAAAGCCCTGTCAGTAACAGAGATGGTATAGCAGGGCTCACAGAGTACTGTGGGATGCTCCACTTGAACAGACACATATCAACACTGAAAAACAGAAACCAGCTTATGAAGTTTCCAAAAAATAAAATAATGCTTACGCGGCTATGGAAATGTTGGCCGCAGACATGGGGCTGACTTCTGCCACTTCCTTGGCCTTCTGCAGGGCGAGCTTTTGATTGGTGGCTTCCTCCATCTCCTCCTCGTCCTGGTGCAGAAAATGGAGAGAAATCAGAGCGTGCATCACGTAATGACAACAACCAAAGCTTGCCAAGGCACGAGCCATGTGTGACTGTCACCGCCATGCTGAGAGAACAGTGGAAACCCATCAAAATAAAGCAGGATGTCACAACTTCTTGCAAGGACCCCTGGGTGGGGTTTTGGTGCCAACAACAGCTGGTCAAGATGAGAAATGCAAGGTTTGGTCAAGTGCTCAGTGCATTTTTCCCAAGATTACATCTCCCTCGTAAAGCTTTCTCACCTTTCTTGGGTCTCTTCTTTATCACTTAGCGTGCAGGTAGGAGACTACAGCAGGGCAGGGAGAGGCCTGCCCACAAGTGTGACATTTCTGGGGTGAAGTGAGCCCCATTTATCTCAGACCTGCATGTGTAAAAACACTCTAAAGCCTACATCCTACTGAAATGTATGAGACAGACTCCTAAATCCTTCCTGACTTCTTGCCAATGTGACTTTTCTGAAATAGTAAGTCAAATAAACAACACTGGATTTGACTGGTCCTGCTCAACCAGTTTTACCCCAGATATTTCCACTTATTTCAGTTGAATCGCTGTGGGCATTCAGGGTGAAAACAGAACGGAGGAGTCATATGAAAGCGCAGTCTGCCGTAGACTCGAGCATAGATGAGAAAGATGGTTATGTTCATGCTTTCTGCATACCCCCTGGATCATCTGGATTTTTAATCTTTTTTGGCATCACAAGTTCCCACAGAGTATAACTGTGATTTATTTCCTCCTACCTGGTGTAATGACAAAGAAATACTGCTCAAATTCAAACTACAAGATCTTAAGCAACGAGATGAGAGCAAAAGGCAAAGAAACAGCCTGGTCCATTTTCAGTGGTCATCTAGGCTAAACTTCCTTTGAACTTTCTAGCCAATTTCGACTGAATTTAGTAAAATCATAGCAGGATAAACATGGACCCTCCAACGGCAATGTCAGCATCACACACGTGCAGCGAACAACCACACATCAAGATGAGAGCAGTCACGGGCTCTTCCATCAAACTACGAAACGTCACAGGTCTACCTCTGCTCTTCAAAAGTAATACTGTGAAACAGTTATGCTTAAAATAATGACAGCAGACAGTAAGACATCTAGCTTTGATATAGGAAAGTCATATAGATTTATCCATCCTGAATACCATATACATAAACAGTTCCTTGCTCTGACTTCAGTGGTATTTGCTTAAACTGAACTCATTTTGAAACTGTTTTCCTTTTCTCCTTTAGAAGGAAAAAGAAATGATGGAAAATCAATCAAAGAAATTTGCTACCATTAAAGTTCTTAATCTTTTTTTTTTCCTTTTCAACTACTAGCAAATCTGTAACAAGTGAACTCTTATTGTAATGAAAGAACCTGAGACAGGCCATGAGAAAAAGCCCAGCAAACGACTACACAAAGTCAGTATTTCTCAACTGCCAACTTCAGTAGATTTATCAATCATTTGGAAGCTTGTTGTAATTCAAGGGTATCTGCAGAATACGACTCATTTAAGGAATAAGGACCCCAAATAAGAAGGCTTTTAAGGTTTTCCTTTCATTCCGCAGGTATCTTCAAGTTGTTTATTCTCCTGAGGACTCTCTAGCATTGTTAAAATCACATACATTCAAAGGATCTTGATTTTTCTTTCTGTGTACCTAAAGCACCAGGTGCAGTTCTCGCTATCTCTTTAAAATCTGTAGCTTCAACTACATTTTCCCCAGTGCATCAGTAATTCTGCTAGATTCGATATCTCAATGTAACAGCAGAAAATATCCGCTGTCATTACAAACACAGCCTTCCCTAACTCAGAACAAGAACGCTCTGTAGCAGATGACGGCTTAATAATATTTCTGTAGCTCCTTCCACCCAGAGACTGCAGATCACTACAAAAATTCATTAATTCTTTTGCCCGATACTTACACCGCCAGGTCTCACTGGGGCATCGGTTCATCTTGTTCTGCTTGAAGCACGCAGGGTGTGACGGTGCACGACTGAAGTCAGCTCTGAGCTGTCATGGCAACCTCCATCCATCCCACCTCCCAACAACAGCCCAGACTGTCACCGTCATTATATAGGGGCAGGTGCATATAAAAGCCCTGCCTGTAAGGACACCTTTCTTTCATGTTTTATTTCTGTTTTCTAGCACTCTAAATCTTCATTTAAACCACACAGCTTTTCACACGGTAAACCCCATCTTTGGTGCTACCCATAACGACGTGCATAGTTAACACTGACTGTTCTTCGTCAAGTTCACTCAGTTAAAGCCTTCTCCATCGGGAGGGAGGAGGAGAGGTCTTCGTGGCTGTTAGACTCTTGGTTTTGCCACTCACCTCAGTCCATTATTTCTGGGGGTTTCCCAACTTTTTAATATCTTTTTAATGTAAAATTCACACACCTCTCCTGTCCCACGTTGCGTGTTTTTATTCTGCTTTCTCAGGGATTGCTGGCAGTGCACAGACATCAGAGACCACCCTTTGTGCTTTAGGATATTTAGGAAAATAAAGGGTCATTTGTGGTGGCTTCACAAGCTTGTTTAACAAGGATGAAGAACAAACTGCTCTGTGACACCAGAGACATTGTGGGATGGTCGGTGGGGAAAAGATTTTAAAAGCAAATTTTGGGGGCAATTTAGGTTCTACTCTGAATAAGAGAACAGGAAGAAAAACCTGCCAATATATGGGAAAAACTAGAAGGTAGGCAACCCAAAAAGGTAGAAACTAAGTTGGCAGAGCTTAAGTCCTTGGTAAGGGAGAGGCAGAACAGGAAGAGAAGGAGAGGACCTGGGGAGGAAGAGGCAGAGGCTGGAGAACAGATTCTTTATATATTCAAAGCAAAGAAGGTGATTCTTTTTTTTTTCCCCAAAAATGAGTCATTCCAAAGTGCTGGTGAGTTTTGTAAGAGACATTGGATGATCAAGCTTAAGTTAAATATAGTTACATCCTGATAACTTCTGTTACAGGTCACAAGGCCCAGCCAAGGCTATCAAGAAATGATCAAATGCCGTGATAAATGAAACCCAAATTAGCATCCAGAAGGGGAAATGTTGGTTGAAATATTTCAGTCCTGAAGGCTGGCTGGAAAGATTTGTCTTTCCAAAACAGAGGCAGTTGCAAAATGTTTATGGGTTTTCCACATTATATGCAACACTGATCTCGACTAGTTTTACAGCATAAATGTCAAGAAAGTCTCCTGAGATCAACTGACTCCTGAGTAACTTAATTATATCTCCAGGCCATTTTTGGTTTTGCATGATCATATTTACTTAGCAATAAATCCCTCTTTCTCCAGGTATGCTATATAATTGAATTACTTCTATCTTTTTCCTCTTCTTTTGAAAGCCCTAGTGATTTTTTAGGATTATACATAAAATTAAAGCAAAAAAAGAGTTTCTCAAGAAGCTTTATGATTTGGCAATGCTGCTGAATCCATCAATATTTAATTATACTTTACAAACATCAACAAAGTCAGGTTTATAACCGTCCCAGTCAGCTGCTGAAATATTCACAAGAAAGCACTAAAAGGATTAAGAAAGAAGTAGGATGAGCTTCATTATCCAAGAATTGCGCTGGGCCTGATCCTCTCTCTTAGCACATGCAAGGGATGGCCATAAATCTCCTGAACAGGCTGGGAGGATGCATGCCTCCAGGCTGGAGATTTCTGTGGGCTTTAGAAAGAACAGAAACAGCTGAGCTGCTCTACGGGAAACATTTCCCAGAAAAAACCCACTGGGAGCCATTAAACACAGCCCTGAGCCACATTATAAGAGAGGAGAGAAGCAGAACACAGTCTCAGAAACATAGGAACGTTTATCATACACCTGAGACCTACCAGCCTTCTTGTATGGTCTGTGCTGGATATCAGCTGCCAGGAAACAAGGCTCCAGTCAAAGCTGGAGCCAGTCACGCAGCTCCACAGCAGAAAAAGAGAGCTGGGAAAGACAAGCTCAGCCGCAACAGAGACGTGGATTTTAACTGGGAATGGTTGGGTGCTTTGGTCTTCAGCAGCTGGAGCGGGGTAGGAAACTCCTAGAAATCTCTGTGTCCCTGAACTGTGGAGTTGAGTCACACATCCATGAACTACTGAACCTTCCTACAACTCTAAGAAGAGAAAACACCCTTGCCCGCTGCTGCCTAAGCACATGGTTAGTGATCCTCTTACCCTATAAGGAGCAGACAAACTAAAGCCAGGAAAATACAACTGCTAAGGTGGATACGGTGCTTCTTTGGCCACTAGCAGCAGGCCACTGGGACTTGAGGCGACGGCAGCAGTGCAGCAATGAGGTGTGCACGTTTTTATCTGCTCTGTGAGAACAAGCTAGAAATGTGCAGACAAAATCTAATGCTGCCTCATAACTACAACTGAGTATATTGCAATGAGAAATCAAAAGTACATAATACTACGAACCCAAACTACAGCACTTGCAATCCTCCCTCAGCAGTACTGAGGCTGTGAGTTTTTCTCCATAGGGAATGCTCCAATATAAATCCACGTGCACAGTAAAGTTACATCGGTGTCATTTCCATCTCTTGCCAGGACCTGGCTTTCTGCCTGTGCTTGGGCTGGTGCCTCAGGTTTCTCTCGCACCTGGTGAGAGGCAGGAAGATTATAACATCTTCACTGAGTATTCACAATAGCCTCTGCAAGTTGTTTTCCAGGGAGCTGATTGGAGAACCTTAATTCTTTGATTCATCCCGAACTCAGCAAGGTATGAAACATTAGTGTAAGACAGCAAAAGCAGCAATACAACACCTGCGTTTCCCCATGTCTAAGCTTCAAGTCAGCCAAAACCTGTTAATTGCTTCGCCTCTGCTCTTGAAAACAGCAAATGCTACAATGCCCGCGCACCTCCATGCAGCAGCGAGATGAGCAATACCCACTGCACACTCTGTGATAAAATGAAACCAAAGAACATGAAATAGTCCACTAAAGCCTGAAATGAAACAAACCTGAACAAGAATAAAATTCCTGGTCCCTCTCTGCAGTGCAAACTGGTAAACAGAGATACCGCATGAATGGGTTCTAGAGGAAATCTCAGGGTGTCTGGAAGGGTTGGTCACATGGGCTTTAGACCCAGCAGCTGTGGTCTGAGTTTGAGGAAACAGAAATCTCGTACGTACCTTGGTCAGCTCTTGGGCATTCGCCAGATTGTCAACAGCGATAGCCAAGAAGACGTTCAGGAGCGTGTCTTTTGGGGAGCAGCTAAGGAAAAAAATCTTCACACAGCAGATACAGAAATCTGTTCCCCTTCCAGTGCCACTACCCTGCTTTCCCCACCTACAGTCATCAGTATATTATGGATTGTCCCCTTGCACCATTTCTAACTCACCCACTTCTGCTGGGAGCCAGCTCTGCAGCACAGCAGGTGCTGGACACCCATTTGTCTCTTCCTCAGCACTTATCCCTGGTGAGGATAAACACACATGCTGAGCAGATGGGCTTTACAACACTATAGGTGCAACCAGTATGGGACTACACAGTGGTCCGAGAGACACAATGGCCCCTGTTTTTTCATTCCAGAAAAACCACACCTACACTCCTGCCCATACACACACACAGAGAGGATTTCACCTTCATTTTCCCCTCTTGTTTAAAAGGACAACTGGTAGGGCTGCTGGAAATCAGTCATTTTAAAGCCAACATTTGCATAATATATACATATAGCTATAGAAAGGCATTGGGTACCATGACAAAGTTAAGCTTAAGTCACTGCTACATTACATACTGGTGGGAGGAAACTATCATGACTTACCACACTGAAGTCAATGTGACAATTAGACCCCCACAGACATCCTCTATCCTGAATGCTGCAGCATCATGCAGAGCACAGCTACAGAAGAGCCCGTTAGCAGGACACCCAGCCTGAGCTAACAAGCTCTGCTGGGAAATAGGCCGTTAGTTTGGGCCAAATTACACGTAGCCCAGCTAAACAACCACCAGTGCCCACGCTAGCCCAGGTGTCTCTGCAGAGCGCTGCATTATATCACTAAGACATAACATTTCCCTATAATTATTTATTCATACTTTATTTTCATTTTTCCACTTAATAATTTCAACTATTACTTGTCCCTTCACATATTTTATTGTTGTTAATCCAGCTATGCATCTGCAAAACATCCCCAAAACAATTGTAAATCAGATACCTTTGCGTATGAAAGGAGAGTGAGCAATGCAAAACCAAGTCCAAACTACTCTCCAAGAAGAAATTGCAGCCTATGCACACTACCGGGTGACAGGAGAGTCACTCGCTCCATAGCTACATAAAGCTCTGACTGTTCCTCTAAATACGAATGTACATGAGAAAGAAGCTGATCTCATGAGTATTTACCCCCCGGAGATTCACAACGGCTTTAACAGCAACGCGCTGCTACTGTGTTTGTGTGGCACCATCCTCACCAGAGCCAAAGACGTCTGGGACCAGACACGGGTCCCCATAACCCGAGTGAAATGACTGCAGCAGTCCTGGGCAACTAATACAGTTATTTTCTGTTGGGTCGACATGGCCCCTGTTTGGACACGATGCCCAAAGCAATGCCGCAGCGAAGGCACAACTGTGGGACGAGGGCGGTGTGCTGGGGGGAGCCGGGCGATCGATACGGCGAGGTGTGAGCTCCCAGGGTGCTGGCAAACTGCAACAAGATTTTGGGAAACCTTGGCCTCTGTGCCCCGCTGATTGCTTTCCATTTCTCAGAAGGATGCCTGGTGGAGGCGTCTAGGGTTTGCCAGGGGAGCCAGGCTGATTCATCGGCTGCAGCCATCACTGCAGAACAGGAGCGTGCCCAGAAATCCCCGTGCTGAGGCAGCCTCCGGGCAGCATGCTGGCTGCGGAACCATCGCCCCACGTTGGCCTGGCATCAGGAGACTTCCTAGGGCAGCCAGGGACGAAAGCTGGCCCAGACAACCAGCTCAAAGCCTCTTTGCTTTCCCTCTCAAGAGCTTTTACCAAACATAATTCAGTCAAGACTTCAGAACCAGATGTTCACATCTCTAATTCCCATTGAGATGAGTGTCTCCAGAGCCTGAATGCTTATCAAATGCCTCTGCTTGTGACAGCGCAAAGCAGAAGTTGTGTTTAATCTCTTAGGATGCATCTGCATCCTGACTGCCAAACCCTGCAGGGGATGGGATGCAGAGCCCTGGGGTTTCTCCAGGCAAAGGCCAGGCCACCCATCAGGTTTTCTCCGTGTCATGTAACACGGGAAGGAGGTTTTTGTCATGTGAAGATGATGATTCCTCTGGGACAAGCAGAGGTTTGAAATGTGATGCCCGTCAATTGCTCCTTCCTCCGTTCCAGCAGGACAGAGAGGAGCGTGGGGTGGGAGCACCTCAATCCCAGTAAGCCCAGCAGATGAAGAACAAAAAGAGAGAGCTGATGCTGAAATGATCACTTCCCTCCCACACTGAAGTCAGAGCTCCATCAGCTTCTCATTTGCAAAGACACTAATTTCCCCATTTCCTTTTAGCTGAGGGTTGGCAAGAGGGGGCTGTCGCTTGCAGGCGGGGGTGCAGGCAGGGAGGCGGGGGCACTGCTGCCCAGGCACCATCGGGGTGCTGGCCGGTGCTGGCTGTTTGGGTTTCTTCCTCTGGGGTGCTTCCAACACGTTGGAAATGCTTCCAAGCCTCCTGCTCTGGGAATAAATGTCTCAGTAATAAAACTGTCTTCCTACCCCTGCCTCCTACACACATATGCTGAAAATGTCTCGTGTAACATAATCGACCACTGGAAATATAATTAATTTTTTTTTTAACAGATCAGGCTGTTTCGATCCGTCTCCAAGCAGACACAATCTGGCAGACTTGGGTGTTTCTGCCCCCAAAAAGGTCCCTCAGCCCTTTCTGCAAAGCTTGGGATTCCCAAATATTACCCAAACTCCAGCCCCTGGTCCAGGCTGTATAAGCTCGCCAGACCCATGGACCTCGCTGGCCAGCTGAGCCAGCGGCTGGTGCCGAGCACAGCTCTCCTGCGTGGCAGCTAAGGGCAAGGGGAAGGGCAGCACGCACCAGGTATTTGCTGCTTTTCATTTCAGGCTCCTCTGCAGTTTTTCATTGGTCTTTTTTTCTTTTATTTTTCCTCAACAGATACATAAATTTATCAATTAACGTTGGATAACAATGAATACAGGCATGGTGCAATTTCCTAGAAAATGGGCCAAATCCTGCTGTTACTCTGATCATGCAACTTTCATTAAACCATTTTAGATGCAGAGGTCTGGCTCCACACAGACTCTCTGGAACTGGGAATGCAACCTGAGAGACTTCTGACTTACAAAACCAAAGTTTCTGGATCTTTCCCTTGCAACAATCCCTCAAAAAAGTAAATGGATTCAAAGAAACAACTGAGCTGCAGTGAGAAGCAGGGGAAGCCGGCATTCATCCACCTTTCTCCTTCATGAAAAAGAACAATCACAATGCCCTGAGCAGCTTTGGGAGAAGAAAGGAGTCCCTCATGTTTAAAAAGGGTAGGTTTTGCAAGCTTACCCAAAATCGCCAATGCCAATTCTCTAACAAGATTTGATCCAGTCTGCACAAACTCTTAAAAATGGACTCACCAAATGCCAATGTTCAAAACCTGAAAATAAAACCCCTCCCAGCAGCGGAACCAAAGTGCCTTTTGCTGATCAGAATCCAGAAGGGCTCAGACTGATTTCAACGGCAGCGATGCAAGAAAATAAAACCAAAAAGTCCCACTTCAGAAATTCAGCTGCAGTGAATATCTGTGTGGGGAGGCCTGGTGGCAAATCCACACTCAACAAATGAAAAAAATCCATTGCATAAAAAAAGTACATTTTTAAAGCTGTTTGGAGGGCGTACTGTAAGGTAGAGGGGGGAAATCTTTGTGAAGTCCCAAGTTAGAGCAGAAAAGACAGTTCACATTAATCTAATCTATAATTAAGCTAATCAACAACTTGGACTGCTCTCTATAGGGTGTCCTCTTGGCATTTGCTGGGCTGTGGGGCTCTCCTTGGGAAGATGAACCCCAGGCTCAGGCACGTACCTCACCCTGTACACTCGCCTGTCCTTAGCATTGCTGGGCACTGCAGCGTCACTGGCATTAATGGCTATTTCACTTCCCACAAAAATGCAGGACTGTTCTTTTCTGGCAAACTAAACTTTATTTTCAGATGCTCCTGGTTATGTTTTGACAGTTAATGATAACTTAGGTCCCTGGTAAGTCATACAGTTCAGCCTTCTCCCAGAGATAAATGACTGCCTGCTGCTTGCTCTCCGCATCAAAACTGTAGCTGGTGAAAAGCAGGGGCAGCACTGATCTTCCCGAAACACTGTTTGAAATATCAGCGCAAGCATCAGCGGGCTTACTGTTGCAATTCCCACGATAAACAGACAGGGAAAAGATTTAACCCCTCATCCTCCACCACACACTCCAGCCTCAGTTCTCCCCCCCTGCCCACGGTGCTTAAAGGCAAACAGGTCTCCACGCGATGCAGAAAGGCTCTTACAAGCCCTCTGTGAAAGCAGCTGATGCTCCCAGACTAAGTTTCTACGGAGACGATGGGGGCGAGGTCTCAATTCTCCAACAGGGATGTAAAAAAAAAAAAAGGAAATTAATGGATTTGCTTCAGGTTTACAACTCTGATCACTAGAAGCTGGTGAAAGAAGTCTTCTAGGACATTACAAAAGGGTTTCTGAGTGTTGTCACTCTTTGTCAGCCAGCTCTCCCCTCTCTCTGGACTTTGTGCTCACAGAAATTCACCTGCAGAAAACTCATCCCCACCTGCAGGACTTGTGGACAATTAAAGAATCACCGCTGACACATCCTCCTTGCTAAATGCACAGATAGTGCCCCAAGGAGCACTCTGGCTGCGCTAAAGGTGTGCCACCAGCATGCAGCTGCAGGCAAAGGGGATGAGAGGCGCCCTGGAGATGGTCCCAGGGAAGCAGCCAGGAAAGCCACCTCCTGCATCTCCTCAGTGGCAGCAGGAGGGAAAGCAAGACAGCTGCTCTCTCCAGGATGGTATTTGGGGAGAATGTGGGTAAGGTTTTGACTCACAACTCTGCCAGGGCAAGCAGAGACAAATACCAAATTCATGGCAGTGGCCATAAGTGAACCAGGTCCTT